AAAAAAAAAAAAAATACTTGCATACACCTGAAATAATTCTCTCCTGCTACCAATTATTCAAAAACTTCAGGTGAGTAATTTTGTAACTGTATAGGGGGAGGCAGGGGGAGGAGCAGAGGGAACTCTCAAACATACCATGCAAAAATGGTCGTGATTCCAGATCTGCCCCGTCATTGATGCTGAAGGTAAATTTTGTAAAAAGGGAGCAGTAAAAACACTTACATTAACATACCACAGTTAATGCTGAATTAGAATTCCCTCAGCCATATCTTTTTGCCTTTTTTAACATGAAGAGTTTGCACAACATTTTATAAAGCAAGAAAAATTTCTCCCTAGAAAGTGTTTTTGAAATCTTGGCATACTACCTGCTGTGTTTAGTAGGATGCATTTCAAAGTTTTCAAAAGACATGGCAAGGAGTAGTTCACAGCAGGACATGTCATCCAACATGAGTAACAGCACCACAAAAATGCTGTTTTACTGAATTTATTTTGTATGTCCCAGAAATCTCAGTGTTTAACCTTTCATATTTTGAATTTTATATTAAAATTTTACAATATCATAATTAAATTCTGAAGGTTACAATTTGTTCTTGTATTTACTTTTCTTACAGCATTGCTATTAAAGTCAGTCTGAACTATTAAAGATGACTCTTTGGAAACCGGACAAAACTTATTTTAAGTTAGTTAAGAGCTTATTATTCTAGCACATCTTTTCCTTTAGTCTACCCATCAGAGTCAAAAAATCTGGCTAGTAAAGAAAATGTGTGTAAAGCGGAAGATATTTATTACTGACTGTTGTGATGTTGGGAATTATCATACTTGGGTCATATATCAGAGGCTTCCATAGGAACAGTGTCTTCTAAAGGGCATAAGTCCTATGCTATACTGGCAGCTCTTCTGGGGAAGTTATAGATGTTGTTTTTTACAATGAAGTTTGCCTTGTAAAAGACACTACAGCACTGATGCCAAACACTGTAGTAAAGCTGCAATCTTAGGAAAAGCAGAAAAAAGGACACTGGATTAGACATTATTATTACAAAATATGATCTTTTTTTCCCTTAAATAAGCATCGTAAGGATGTTTTTCCTTCAAAGGAAAATGTGTGCACATTTAAAGTAGTAGGGTGATGTATATCTGTGTTGGTCCAGGAATTATGCAAGGGGCAAAGATTTTTTAGGGGGATATCTTTTATTGGACCAGCTGCATAGGTGGGATAGGGTTAGACAAGCTTTCAAATGCAAGACATGAAGATGACATGAAGAGGAAGAAAGTCTTGCATTCAATAGCTTGTCTAACTCTATCCCACCTATGCAGTTGGTCCAATAAAAGATATCACCCTAAGAAATCTTTGCCTCTTGATATTTAAAAGGTCTGAAGTAGCACTCAGGATATTGTTGTGACTCAGACATCAGAGGACTATAACACTGTCAAAAGCACAACACTAAGATCTGTCACCTTGTTTTGCTGAAACCACGTTTGCATATTTAGTTACTTAGTCAAAATCATTTGCTTTCTTGCATATATTTATGTTTATATATAAGTTACAGAGGGCATGTCCAAAACACATGTGTTTCCCTTGAGGACAGATAGCAGTGGCACATAGTTGTGCTGCTGCTGCTTATCCCCAGGGAATGCCTGCGCGGATGCACTTTTGTGCACAGCAAGTTACGCTGGGTGGGGTAGGGGAGACTGGGGCCAGCACCTGCGCTCGTCCCAACAGCCTTATCTGGGGTCATGGGGGACTTCCAGGGCTACAGCCATGGCAAACTAGGGGCGTGGAAACTGACCAGCAGCTGGAGCATGGTCCTGGCTAGCCAGGCTCCAGTTTCAGGTGGCACATACTGCCGCCATGTGCACTGACCTGCTTTTTTCTGGCGTGTGGTTTTTTTTTTTGTTTGTTTGTTTTTTACATTAGGTGCCAAAAAAACCACCGTGCTGCAGATTAGCAGTGCGACAAATGCCTGCATGTATGTGCTCATCTGGATGTGCCCAGAGAGGTGATTTTCCTTTTGCAAAATAAAGAAATGATACATTCTTTGTATTAGTTAGCTGTGGGACCCAGCAAGCAACTCAATACTTGCTAGTGCCTCAAAACCCAAGAAAGAACGTGCTTAGTGAAGATGTGCACTTAGCTAGACTTTTGGCTAAGTGAGCACAAAGGTTAGGGAAGAACATGTGCAGATGCATCCTTTAGGACAGGGGTGGGCAATTATTTTGGGCAGAGGGCTGGTTACTGAGTGTTAGCAAGCCATTGAGGGCCACATGATAGGTAGCCCAGGGCAGATAAATATTAATTCTCTAAACATTTTAGGGGCTCCGCAGGCTGGATACAATGGCCTGGCAGGCTGCATCTGGCCCCCAGGCCGCATTTTGCCCACCCCTTCTTTAGGAGAATATTGTCATGAAGCTTGCACTACTCACATACTTCCTTATATGCAGACAAACTGAGTACTCTGCACGGGATTTGAATGAAGGTAGATTTAGGTGCCTAACTCCTATGTCTAAATATTTTTAAGAGCTAGCACCTGTCTTTAGGAGGTATTCATATCATGAACCTGCCTATGTCCTTAGACCAACAGGACTACAACCAAAAACTCAGCATTCATATCATGAAGACACAATTACCAACCACTATCTGCTGCTTCAGCTCATGAACAGAATTAAATCAAACAAACTTACAAAATCACTGGTAATTCTTTTAGTTGAAAGATTGAAGAACTGAACTAAATGCGAGTGATCCAAGCAATTGCTGTTTCATGAATTTGACTTTTACTATTAGTAACATAATAGAATAAAAATTAAGGATAAAAAAAATGCTTGGGAGATTTATACATCAGAACATTTTGTATAGCAAAATCATACTCTGGGAAGTTATTCAAATTAGCTTATACAGGGCATGGACAAATGTTCAGTACTGTACATTTATAGCAACTTCAAAAGGAGAGGGGTAGATGCTTCTTGGGAACATGCAACAGCTGTTACACTGTAACTATAATGTGTATGATTCCCCCTAGTCTTCTGTAACTTTGACCCTGGATGAAACCTGGAGTGGTTTTGCTACATTTGCATTGCTACAGGTTGATATAAGTTACATTCCAGTCCAAGCAGCAGCTTCCCCTTCTCTTTTGCAGCTGCTATGTTTGTCTATACCCACAATCATATCAATTTAAATTAAGCAGAAGAGACACAGAAAAAACTAGAGGGTACTAATAAATAGCAGGTAAGTAAATAAAATTGTCTATTGGAGTATCACAAAATGCTAGTTCCTGTTTCAACATCCTCAGTGTTCTGAAAAAGCAAGAGAAAAGCAGATTAAAAAGACTCAGAGGTAACTGGGAAGACTCAGAAACAACACAAAGAAACACCAAAGAAAAATATCAACAGCCATAAAAAGAACCAATAGCAAGATATAAATAAATGAAACAACTTGGGAAATACAAGCTAATATATCTAGGCGAAAAGTCCTCCCAAATA